TTACGTTAGTAGTACGTACCCGAACCTAACTAACTACTCGGTCCGACGTAGTACGTAGTAGTCGTCGTACTACTACTACTACGTACGTACGTGTACGTACTACGTATACTCCTACTATATATATATATATATATATATATATATATATATATGGAAGCTAACAAACATATGGCAGCTATAATGAATAGTAATATAGGTGCAATCCCAGCCATCACATCTTCATCGGGTGGTTCAATATACATGTCACTATCTGAATTTTAAATTTTTTTTCTAGAAATTGGATCGTGATGAAATTTTGGGCATGTGTACTAACTAATAGTACGTACAAGAAAAAAATACAAAGCAAATATTTTCCAAAAATATGAAATGACCAAAATATCCTTGGAAAATGACGGGGGTAATTTGGACATTCTAAATTCTTGAAAGTAATTTTTTTTTATATTTTTATATGGTGCGCAAGAGTATCAAGTATATACACGCAAAATTTCATCTCAATTTTATTTGTAGAAAAAAGATTAAAATTCAGATAATGATATATATTTTGAATCGCCCGATGAAGATCTGACGATTGAGATTCAACCTATATTATTATTCATTATAGCTGCCAAGTATTTGGTAGCTTTAATCTCTTTCTTTATATATATATATATATATATATATATATATATATGTATGTATCTATATATTTATTTATTTATGTTGCAATATTACTTCAATATTAAATGGGAACTTTGGTAAATTGTTGAAATTCAGCTTAGGCATTTGATTTTTTTTTGAGAATAAGCTAGGGCATGTTTCAGCACTGTTGATTAGATTGGAACTGTTAGATTTATTCCTTTTGTATATTTATGCATATGAATTTTATTTTAAATTTTCGTTAAGTTATTTATTGATTTGTGCCAAGAAAATGTGACTTACGTGAATTTTATTTGCTAGACTATTGGTTATGCTGTACCCATTTTCTTTCTTTGCAAGGCTTTTTGTTCCTTGTTGGGTGTTTTAAAATTTCAATGGGTCCTTTTTCTGTTATAAATTGATCAATTGACAATGCATCATATTCTTATTGTGTTATAGTGACCTGGTGAAGGATTGTAGGACAAATACTGCAGAGCCGTCTCCTTCATCTGTTTTAGACTTTGTCCAAGACACCCCTAGTAGCCTTCATCGTCTTGTATCCGAAGGTGACGTTGATGGTGTTAGGTAAGTTATATCTCTTGCCTCTAATAATTGTCCTATTAATCTTTGATTAGTAGGCCCTCTTTATAAACTTCTTCCTTCGAAATGTTTCCAAGGAGCTTGTGATTAAAAAAACTCCCCTTATTCATGTTGTTTCTTCTTTGCAATCTTTTGTCGATTATGCAGAGACTTGCTTGCAAGAGCTGCCTCTGAAAACAATCGAAATTCGATCGGTTTCTTATTAGAAGGGCAAAATGATGATGGCCTAACTGCTCTCCATTTGGCTTGTAAGAGGGGTTGTGCAGAACTCGTTGAAGCTATCTTGGAGTACCAAGAGGCAGATGTTGATGTATTGGATAAGGATGGGGACCCCCCAATTGTGTATGCTCTAGCTGCGGGGTCCACGGAATGCCTACGAGCTCTCATCCGAAAATCAGCTAATGTTAGTGCAAGGCTCAAAGAAGGGATGGGTCCATATGTTGCTCATGTTTGTGCTTTCCATGGTCATCCAGATTGCATGCGTGTAAGCCTAAGGTTTCATCAAGCTATATTCATTTTTGAAAGGGAAAGCATACAATAATCCAGTGGATTAGGGAAAACCATAGTCCTTTGGGATCATGGCCATCTGATGAAGGAATGGTCTGTGATGGATAGAGGCGGGGGGGGGGGGGGGTGCTTGTGGGCTCTCTTTCTCTCTCATTCTCATCCACGACGGTGGTAGGCTATGGTATTCCCTTGTTGGATTATAGGGACTTTCCCTGCATTAGTTTTTTAGCTATCTTGTTGCATGTTTAGTTCTTCCTGTTTTTGTTTCCTAAAATGTTTTCTGTGGTAATAGGAGTTGCTTTTAGCTGGGGCTGATTCCAATGCAGTGGATGATGAGGGTGAAACTGTGTTGCACAGAGCCATTGCAAAAAACCACACGGACTCTGCCATTGTTATTCTGGAAAATGGGGGCTGTAGTTCAATGAGCATCACAAATTCGAAGAATTTGACGTAAGGATCTACGATCATCTTCTTTTTTTCCAGTCTGTAAATAGCATCATATATTAATTGTTAGTTTCTAATGTTGAGTTGTGTATCATGAAGAAGAGAAAAAATGACTTCTTGTGTTTGTTGCTCCCGCTGTCAATAATCTGTGGTGATTCATTTAGTGAGCATTATTGGAAATCAGTAGTTGTTCTTATGATACTGATTATGATTTCGGGCTGAGTAAGAAGGTTAGGTGATTTAGGGAAATTTGGGAAAGCAGTAAAATCAACAAGAAAACATGCCAAATACAAGCAATAACTAGAAGAAACCTAGGGTTTCCTTCTCACCTGAAGCTAGGGTTCCAGAGGCCCGAAGATTTTCTTTCTCTTTCAATTTCTGAAATTTACGTGGAATGGTCCCCTCGAGGCCCCCCATACCTCTTATATATCATAATTTAGAGTTCAAAGATATTAAATGTTGATACAATAATTAAAATGACCCTAAAAGTCCTAACTTAAGCACAAAATTCATAATGATAATTTAACCCTTGTGAACAATATCTATGAGTAACCAATGAGAATCCCTAAAAAACTTAAAAATCCAAAAAGTAAACTCTAAAACTAACATGTAAAGATACATCTTTTGAAATTGAACAAAAATTAGAAATAAGAATAATTTTGTCCTGCAACATTCTTCCGTGGTTTGAGAAAACTCGTCCTCAAGTTTTATAGTGTGCTAAGATGAATTTAGCATCAAAACCACCTTCTTCTTTATTGGCTAATTATTCGTGGTAAGAAGAAATCTCCAAGAAACGGATCGTGATATGTACAGTAAGGAATTGATGCAAACTTGTGAAATTCAACTAACCCTGAACTCGCATTGAAAATTGTGTCTATTTTCTAGCTTTTAGAGGCTTTCTCGATATCTATTTTATTACCTTGTGAAACTAGGACCGCAATTTGCTGTGGGGACCATGGTTCCTTTGCATTATTTTGGTTTCAATGCTCTAAATTTATTGAGTAGTCCACCTCTTCGATCTTATTGAGTTCTTCAATGGCCATGATTTTGATCATCCCCCCTACTACCTTCTCTCTGTATTCTTGACGAGCAAGATCCTCTTCTGAAACATCTTCATCTTGATCCTTATCATAGATCGGATATCCTAGTAGATCTTGTTTATCTGAGTATGTATCGATGATTGGTGGCAAATCCTAATCTACAACCAATTGATTTTGGATACAACCTGCATCAAATTAAGAATAATTGCCTTCCTTCAAGTTGAAAACTTTAGAGTGATGTTCCCCATGTCTAGGTCTTCTATCAGTTTCCTCTTCACTCGACTCTTTGTGTGGATCATGCGGATGAAAAGAGTGGTACTCGACATCTTCTTGGGCGAAAGATCACCGTCTTACCCATGAATGATTCTCGCAAACTGTTGCGTCAGCTGCTAAACTTGCCTTTTAAGTTCCTCAATTTCTTCATCTTTGGATCACGAAGTGGATATGTGAAAACCCCCTTTTACAACCCCATCACTGCCTTTGATTTACCGAAATCACAAATCTTAGGCAGAGAATCAATAAAACGTTGTTGAAATTAGCAAGTTTTAGGCTGACTTGGTAAAACTCGGCCCAAAATTAGCAAACCCTAGGCTTGGCTATAGTTTTTTGGCTTTGTTATTGAAGGAATCTTGAGCTTCGATACCACTTGATGTAGGGAAATTCGAAAGAGCAGTAAAATCAGCAAGAAAACATTCCAAACTCAAGCAATAACTAGGAGAAACCTATGGTTTCCTGACCCCAAGCTAGGGTTCCAAAATCCTAAGCCTTTCCAAAATCCTAAGCCTTTCTTTCTCTTTCAATTTATGGAAATCACATGGAATGCCCCCCTCAAGGCTCCACACCTCTTATATATTATAATTTAATGTTCAAAGATATTAAATGTTGATACAATAATTAAAATGACTCAAAAAATCTTAACTTAAGAACAAAATGTAATGAGAGTTTTACCCCTGTGAGTAGTAACGCATGAACAGTACTCATGGATGGTACTTGTGAGTAGTAAATGGTGAATCATCATCATTAGAGCCTTATCTTAATTATTTGGAGTTGGCTACACGAATCCTATTCTTTCATTCTGTTCTATGATGGGCCTTAGCCTTAGTAAGACCATAAGTCTCCATATCTTTTCTCAAGGCTTTCCATCTATGCCCTTTTGGGCCTTCCCCTTGCCCTTTTAGACCTTCCACTTGAATCAAATCGTACCTTCTAACTGGTGTTGTATTGGGTCTGTGCTGCACATAGCTAGCCCACCTAAGTCTACTTTTTGTCTTCTTGTTGCCTATTGGAGCTACCCCGAAGTTCCCTTTCAGCTTCATTGGTATATGCCGTTCACATAAAACTCCGGTTACACATCTTGACTTCGCCCACCCAACTCTAATTCTATGTACGACATCTTCCTCAGTTTCTCTATTTTTTTGGATTTTTGACCTAAGATATCGAAGATTCTCCATTTTAGGTATTTCTTGGGCATCATCTTAACTACTACTTCGTTTCTACTCTTATTGTTACTAAACTTGCATTCGATATATTATGTATTAGTTCGGCTAATTTTAAAATCCTTTTTTAACTCAAAATTTTTTATTTTTAAATCTTTAGATTCTAGAGCATCCCTCCAAAGTTCTAACTTTGAAGTGACGGTATCCCTAGTCTCATCGATCAAAACTATTTCATTCGTGAGCAACATACACCATGGTACCTCATCTTGTAAATACCTAGTTAAACTCGCCCATAACTAAAACGAAGAGATTTGGGCTCAATGTTGACCTCTGATATAGGTCTATTGTTATTTAAAGTTCACTTGTTTCTCTACTAGTTGTCCGCACACTAGTTCTCGCTCTCTCACACCTGTCTCTCACTATATCAATATGGCATCTGGAGACTCCTTTCTTTTCCAACACCCATCAAATTAAATCTCTAACCATCAAATTAAATCTCTAAGTACCCTCTCATAAGCTTTCTCTAAATCAATAAAGACCATGTAGAGGTCTTTTCTCTTCTCTCTAAACTTCTCAATTAGTTGTATAAGTAGGAAAATGGTCTATTGTTGACCTCCGTGGCATAAAACCAAAATGATTTTATGATACACTTGTTTCATGCCTTATTCGTTGCTCAATCATTCTCTCCCACAGCTTCATAGTATAGCTAATAAATTTGATCCCTCGATAGTTCTCACAACTTTGTATGTCTCATTTGTTCTTGTAAATAGGTACCACAATGCTTTTCTTCTATCCGTCGGACATTTTCTTTGTTCTCAATACTTTGTTAAACAACTTTGTCAACCAGCATAAGCATCCCATGCACTTTTAAACCTCTATTGGGATACCTTCTGGACTTAAAGTCTTTTCTATCTTCATTTTCCTCAAAGCTTCTTTCACTTCAGATATCCTAATCTTATGAATGTATCTATCATCTCCACGTCATTTATGCGAAAGTTTCCTCCTAGCATTATGTTCCCATTGTATTCGTCATTTAACAATTTTTTAAAATAAACTCTCCATCTTTCATTGACCTCGTCATCCTTCATCAATACCCTTTGATCCCCACTCTTAATGCATTTAATATGGTCTAGATACTACTTCCTCTCTCTTGTTTGTGCTAGTTTGATGACATCTTTTTCACCTTCTCTTGTTCCCAGTTTATAAATTATCGTATGCCCTAAGTTCAACCTTACTAGGGTTTCTCTTAGTATTTTTATATTCTTCTAATTTAATCATTTCTAACATTGTCAAGTTTTATAACATAATTGTTTTTTGCTAATAGTCTTATGAACCTTGTCACTCCACCATTAGGTTTCCTTATCGGAATTTCATTTCCCTCTAGTTTCTCCTATAATTTCTTTTGTCACTTTCATAATGAAGTTAGCCATTTCACATGATATTAACTTCGTGTTCAGTGAATAGTAAATAAAAAAATAAAAGAAAACCCTATAATCCCTAGAAAATTTAAAAAATCCTAAAAATAGATCCTAAAATTAAAATAAAAATATACATCTTTTGAAATTGAATAAAAATTAAAATAATAATATTTTGTTTTGCAACATAACGTCTAGTTTCGTGACACACCCCACACGAATATACCTGAAAAGGAAATTATTAGAATGGAATGATGATGGAGAGAAGAACTAATACAAAAGTAACATCTAAGATAGAGGCCTGAGGAAGAAGGGAATCCCTAATATAGGTGTTGGAAGTGGGAGAGGGAATGCGAGTGAGGGATTGTCACATGCAAGAAGCGCCCTAGATCGGGGCCGCATTCTGTACAATCATTTAATTTGTAATTTATTTTTCCTAAAAAAATTAAAAATCCAGTAATTCCACAAAATACAGCAAAAAAGGGCAATAAATATCAGTATTTATTAATTAAATTTATTTGATTAATAAATAATATTTTTTTGTTTCTTTGAGGTGTAGTTTATGTAAAAATATTACCACAAAATACTAATAAAAAATATTGTGAGGAGGCACATTAGTATAATGGATAACAAAAAAATGGAGCTGATTTTATATTGACATAATCTGCTTTATTTACGATTTCACTCTGTACGAACTCCAAAGGCATATCAAGCTATTTATTTACAATATTGCACTTGCAACCTCCGAAAGCCTTTGTGTATGTGTGTGTGTGTGTGTGTGTGCGTGTGAGTGAGTGAGTGAGAGAGAGAGAGAGAGAGAGAGAGAGAGAGAGAGAGAGAGAGATAATAAGTACTACTATTAGTTAAGTACTACTAGTATATACTATCGTTCGTCTTCGTTTGTTTCGTTCGTT